CAGGCCGAAAGACGAAAATTAATAGCATCTGGTTACTGCTTGTTTATTCAAGAGTATAATTAACTGCCAGCTATTACTGTTCTGGAGACAGTTTCGTTTCTAACTCGTGATAAGGGGCACATTTCAAATGCAAGAAAGTGTAGATCGTGTCAAAGGCTGATTTGCATAGAATACATTATGAATTTTCCATAATGGCGTTGAGTTGACTTTTATGTTTGGCCTTTGAGGGGGAAAAACACACGAGCATTTTTAACACAAGTACAAATGTTCTTTTTGTGTAATTAGCTGCTTTGAAGGATAAAGTAGTGTCAAACTGCGTCTACACAATACACAAATTAATTATCACTGCCGTATTTGACATAATTTTTTGATAAGAAGTACAAAGGCTGTACAAACATTCAGTAGTTAAACAGTGGAATTACAATAAAGCTAGTTACAGCGGAGTCCAGCAGTTTCATGATTTCAATGCACTTTCAGTCACAATCAACAACAGGGTGTTACACACTTGGTGAACAATGTGTTCTGATACAGATGCAAATACTACTGATATATATATATATATATATATATATATATATATATATATAAAATATTTGGTTGCATAAAGTACAATTATTTAAAGGTTATAAAGAATTTTATATATTATATTATTATATATATTTGTATGTATAAAGACAAATGAAAATCAATAGGATCCAGTCCAGTGTTTTTTTTGTATTTATAGTATTTATTCGTATTTTAATTTACATGTTTCATCCTAATGTTAGTTTGTTTTAATATTTTTGGCATGCTCTTGACATTTTTCATTTTTGTTATTTTATCTATTTTTTTATATTTATATTTAAGTTTAATTTATTTTTATTTTAGTTACTTAACTTTAGTACCCAAAAATTAGAAATGTTTCCCTGACAATTAACTGAAATAACATTTAAGTTATCAATTAACTGAATAAACTTTATAAAGCAGAAAGAAACATTAATAAGCTAAAATTCTGCATTTATTTGATATTGTTCCATTATTCTTACATTTTTATATTTTATTGACCCCAGTTTGAAAACCCCTGCTTTAATGTGCCTTAGAGTACCTTTAAATATTATAGCAATAAATGTGGTAATCATTTAGTGTTTATAATTTTATATGCCCCTCTGTTTACAAACCCCATGCAGAATCTGTAAATAAAATACATTAAAAAAATACAATAAAATAAGAAATCTGAAATGGCAATGCATTCTTGTGCATGTCTGAATTAGTATAAATTCATTAGCAGAAAATATTTTAAAACAAAATTTATTAATTAGCATAAACTCTATATAAAACAAATGAATAAAATAAATATTTATGAAATAAAAGCCCTCATTCAATAAAAGACAAATGCATGATCCTGTTAAAATCCCAATAAAGCACGTAGACTACATTCAGACAGCTGAGCACGCGCACACACACACACACACACACACAGAGGGGGATAAACACACTTGATGAGCCTGGAGGAACGATGTTAATCGCTCACATGTGTCTCTTCCTTTAATTGTATTTCCATAATTACAACATAATTAACGTGGCATGTCCGTGTCTACATGAGCAAGACACACTGCAATAATAAATCAATCAAGCAGCACGAGGTGACCATGATGTGGTTGGTTATGATGTTCTTCTGGGACGGTGCGGCGAGTCCATTACTGGACCTGTGCCTGGTAATTATGTCTCTATATCAAGGCCCACTCTTTTCCCTCTACTCTCTTTCTTTATTGATAAGCTTTTCTGTAATTGTGGTTTCCATTGGACGTGTGCTAACGGTAATGCTCTATATTATTACAGGCTTGTGTGGGAGGGAAAATGGGAATGTCAGTCATTACTGTTCGAACTATGTGATGTAAAATGAAGTGAATTATGGGTTAACAACACTAAGCAGAGAAATCCAAAGCGGTGTGAGTGTGAATACAGATTTTTAGTTCTGAAATGGCTAGTTCTTTGAGGTCACAACTGAATACTTTTTGTATCTTCTTCTACATCTTGACCTTCCTATTTCCTTGACTATTCATTTCTGTGTAAATTCGCTGAATAATGGACAACAAAACATAAGCTCAGCTCGACTTTGATGGCTCAGATTTGACAGAATGGATCGTGGGGGTTGAGGTTTTCAGACGTGTCCTTACAATGTAGCCTGATTTTTGTTTTCATGTTACTTGACCTTTCTTCTGTTGAGACAGCGATTTCCCTTCCATCTCTGTCAAAGCATGTAATTCAGTCTCACTGATGTTTTGTGTGTAGCAATGCTGGTCAGCAAACTCAGAAGAAGCTTTGTACCATAAATCAGTATGTTGCAATATGTACTTTTTTAAGATCCTTCTTTTAAATGCATCAAAGCAGACATATCATAGGGGGGGAAATCTTGCTTATTTGAAGCAAGATTTTTATAGACTATGTAGGCATTAGTTATATTCTCAATGCAACTCCCTACCCAGTCCAACCAGATCATTTACTCTACATACATTACATACAAAAACAGGTTATTTATAAACACCAAAATGTTGACATCACATTTACATATTAATAGTGATTTGTTTAGCAACTTGGCTATCCCTGATTAATAACAATGTGATTTATGCTGCAACAGAGGTAATTTATGTATAGAAATCTGAAAGGTACAGTTGCACATACAGCTGCTTTAAAGGAGTAGTTCACCCAAAATGAAAACAGTGTCATTATTTATTCATCTTCATATAAGTTCAGACCTGTATTTTGTTAATTTTTTTTTACTGGAACACATTTTTTGATTAATAATATGAGAGTGAATAAATAATGACAGAATTTTCATTTTTGGCTGTGTTATTCCTTTAGTTTTACATCACTAATTTCAACCCATAAATTCATAATTTACACCACGAGAAAATTATCTAACATTATAAGGGGACTTCAGGGAAAAACAAAACATTAAATAAAAAGCAACAAAACAAAACACATTAAATAACATGAAACAAAACAATAAAAAACATGAAACAAAAACAAAACATGAATCAAAAATAAAATAATAACAAAACATTAAACAAAAAGCAATCAGTGTATCATTCGATCATTCATTTTTTTATTTAATATTGAAAGTAGAAAAATTAGAAAACGGCTCCGAACAACGAAAATTCAGCTTAAATGTTTTTCATTCATGGGTGGAAAAATTTATAAACGGCTTGAATATTCGATTTCTACACGTGGGCGGGAATTAAACGCCCCATTTCTGCTGATTGGTCAGCAGAAGGTCAAACCGTTCCTTCATCAGTTCTTCTGCAGTATCACGCAGCAGAATAATAGTCCTCCACTGCTGCAGTTGTATGGATTCTTAACGCATTTATTGCAACTACATTTAATCTTTTTTCATCAAACAAACAGGCTAATGAATAGCTCGACACAACTCATACCGGGGCAGAGTCTAGACAGGGCTTTCTTCTGTGTAGATATAAATTCTATTCTTTGCATCAGCTGGGCATGGCAGGGTATGATATGACAGCTGTCATAGCCTTCCCTGCTCATCCAGTAAGTCTGTTTGTTTGTTTGTTTGTTTAATTAAGAAATTAATTAATTATTTTCAAAATAAATATTTTAAACACTAAGACAAAAAGGAAAGAATACTAAATTGGCTTGGGTATATATAGGCTTATGTTCACGCAAGAACTGTCCAATATTAAGCCTACTGTTAGAGTTGTATAATGTAGTTTTGTGTTTTATTAAAATTGATTATAATTGATATCTCAAAAGGATATGCACTTGTGCGCTGAGTGATGTGAGCTGCATTTTTTCATAAAATATGCATTTTTTCATCAAATATAATAACTTCCCATTTCGGTTTGTTTCTCACCAAACCCTCAGTATACCTTCAGAATGCTTGGAATATACACCACGAGATGCATAGGATTATTTTACGACAAATATGTATCTGCTTAAAAAAAAAGAAAACTAAATTCACCATTCTCTGCCATTAAATTGACAAGTGCGAGCAGGACATTTTTGTGTTAAGTAATAAGCCTTTAGACGGCGCATGCCACAAACATGAACCACAGTGAATACTTGTCTTTTAAAAGGCTTCATGTAGATCATTTTACATTGAATGCATCATATAAGTCACTTTGGAATAAATCACAGTAGGCCTATGTATCATGATAAAAAAAACTACTTTACAGTCTGGAAATACTTTAGGCTATAGCAAATTATTTCTCGGACCCCCTATTACTTTAAGAACCGCTGGTCTACACAGAAGAAAGCCCTCGGCCCCAGTACGAGTTGTGTCGAGCTATTCATTAGTCTGTTTGATGAGAAAAATATGAAATTGATCAAATGCGATGGGTTAAAAAAGGTTTTTTGAAGCTGATTCATACCGTCATATCATACCCAGCCATGCCCAGCTGATTCAAAGAATAGAATTTATATCTACACAGAAGAAAGCCCTGTCTAGACTCTGCCCTGACAAGTTGTGTCGAGCTATTCGTAAGTCTGCTTGTGTGATGAAAAAATATTAATTGTAGTACGAAGAATCCGTACAACTGCAGCTGCGAAGGACTATTATTCAGCTGCATGAAAACTGTGGAAGAACTGATGACCGCACGGTTTGATCTTTGGCTGACCAATCAGCAGAAAGGGGCGTTTAACTCCCGCCCACATGTACAAATCGAATATTCAAGCTGTTTATTCATTTTTCTATCCCTGAACGAAAAACGAAAATTTAAGTTGAATTCTCGTTTGTCGTTTTTTGGAAAAAAACAAAAAAACGAAAAAAGAGCCATTTTCTAATTTTTCTACTTTCAATATTAAATCAAAAAACGAATGATCGAATGATACACGGACTCAAAGTGTCGAATATATCCCTTGAACACAAAGCCATGTCGCACTTTTGGTAAGAAATTAAATTCAGTCAGTCAATCAGTTGCGATCAGTGAAGCGAGACGTACATCAGAAGATAATCTGGAGCCCTCGTACAGAAACACATTTCAGAATGTTTACTGGAAGCTTACCGCTTTCTCGTGAGATCTGAACGAAAGCCTCCACACCGCTCTCCCCATAATTCCCCTCAGACGCCAGCGTGGAGACATAGTTCCAGCCCATGGCGGTCACGATGTCCAGCATGGCCTGGGCCTGGTAGGAGTCAGGTGGCACAACCCGGGAGAAAAAGTCGTACCGGGTGTTATCGCTCAGCTCCGGCGCTGTGGATGCATAGCTGATCTGGGGGATCTGAAAGGAGAGAAAGAACAAACTGTTACGCAGGACAGATTTTAAAGATCACGTTTTCTAGTCCAGAGCCAAAAATATAAGGAATAGTTTACCCAAAATGTTAAATTAGCTGAAAACTGCATGTTTGAGATTAACAAATACATCATTAAAGCGTTTTAACTTTAAACCATTGCTTTGAGCTAAAATATGACTCCTCTATCCATAATATTGCTTTCTCCAGTGAAAAACTTGTCTCTCCTGAATCAGGAGAGAAATATGCACAGATTAATTACGGTTTACAAGCGGAAACAATCCAAAACAGTTTTAAACAAACATGCTGTTGGATTTTGATGCAAGAAAACAACAGACGATGGATTTTTTTCACTGGAGGAAGAGTTATTATGGATTATGGACTTGTTATTTGGCAAGAAGTAATGGTTTGAAGTTAAAACACCTTATGAATTTGTTTCATACAAACACAAGACATTCATTGATGGACTGGAGTGATGTGGATTATTGTGATGTTTTTATCAGCTGTTTGGACTGTTGTTCTGACGGCACCCATTCACTGCTGAGGATCCATTGGTGAGCAAGTGATGTAATGCTAAATTTCTCCAAATCTGCTTTGATGAAGAAACAATCTTCATCTCTTGGATGGCCTAATGGTGAGTACATTTTCAGCAAATGTTAATTTCAGAGTAAACTATTCCTTTAAAAGCCAGGGGAAAAAACTAAAAAGTTTCAGCCTCATGCAAAAGAAGCAAATATTGACTCTTTCATGAGAGTTAATCATTCAATTCTGCCTGAAGCAAGTGGAAAATGCAGAACCAATTAAAGCAAGCAAAGGTGGAGCAATACATATACAACCTCCAAAACCGCTTTAGCCCAAAGCTATTGATGTGAATGACTACCAACCCGTGAGGTGACGCTAAAGGTGAAACAAGACCAGGTAACGAAGACAAATAAGAACGTGTTATGGTAGAAAGAATGGAGGTGAAGCCTGCCAGCAGGCAAGCTGGGTAATGGCTTCTGGTGGCGATTGACGGTGTGATTGATTTCTCCTCAGCCAAAAGGCCAGGCTGTCAGCCGGAGCCCTAGAGGCTGCGCTCATCAGCATTCACCGCAACAGTGGCGCAGGAGAGAACCGGCCCGCAATACAAATGCCACTCACCAGCTGGCGAATCGGGCACCGGCGCTTTTTCACCCACAACCCCGGATCGCAGGCTTGTAAATACAAATGTCATGGATGTGTTGACATGGACGAGCATGTCTGTGAAGCAGATGCGTGCGTGTTATTCTGGGGAGTGTTATATCGAACGTGCAGCACGAATGCCAACACTAGACTTCACACCTTAAAAATAAAGCTTTTGTCTCGTGATTATCAGTGTTAAACGATAAAATAGTGTGATATTCCTTACTACTGTAGGTTAAACACCATTTCAGGTTAAATATAACCATTCACTCGCCTTAATTCTTTTCATGGTTTTCTTCCTTCGACAACATGCAAAAGAGGATATTTTAAAGAGCGTTTCAAATGATTTGTCCATTTAATGGGGTTTAAAACATTGGTCCCCAATGACTTTCACTGTACGGGGAAAAAATTATTTTTCAATATGTTTTTTTGCGACTCACTTGAAAAGAGAATTTTAGTTTGTAAAAAATATTTTTAAAGCCAGATATATGAAATAATAGTAATACAGTATATCTAAAATAAGATTAAATTAAATTAATTTTATTGAATCTACTTCTCTCTGAAGCATACTTACTCAAATAAAATAAAAGAAATAATGTAATATAAACAAAAAAATATATAAATAAAATAAATATTATCATAAAGTATTGTATAATAATGAATGAATAATAAATCTCTCTCTCAAATAGTACTTCATAAAATAAAATAAAATAAAATAAATTAATTTAATTTAATTTTAACCGGCTTTTTCAGCAAAGTTTTGATCATGTTGATAATTTAGAGGCCTTAGAAATATGAAATTTATGTTTGCTTTATAGGGTTAATATGTTAAAATAACAATTCATCACAAAAGGATCTATCCATAATGAAATATGATGCTTAATAAACCAGAAGTTCATTCACAAATGTTGTCCCACATCAAAAAGTGATTTAGACAACTTTATTGATCAAACATTACTATTTTTAACTTCATAATTCATGTAAGGGCAGTCACAAAAACACAAGCTTAACATTTCTGCTTAGAAAGTCATTCCTCATAGAGATCCATTGTAAGTGCATGACTGCAAACCCGTTTTTGTTCACTTTCACAAACGGAGGGTCTGAATGTGGTTGCGAATGCTGTCGAAAGATGTCAGATTAATTCATATGTGCTTTCTGTATGGTTTCACAACATTTCACATGTCATGACATGCTTTCACATGCAAATTTGAAGCTTAAATGCCATCTTCATCTCGAGCGATTACAGTGCGCACATGAAATTCCTATGTTTTTCTGTGCATCAGAGAAAGGCGAGATGGATGGTGCATGGAGTAACTTTTAAAACGAGGCAGCCTCTTTAAAACGGTTTAAACTCTGCCCTGAAGGTTCGCTCGGGAACATTTCATTCAGCAGCTCAAGCGAATGACAGAAACTTTAAGGAGCTCAAGAAATACAGTGTCTCTCGGTCTCTTCAGATGCTCCCTTTCAGACCTCAGCCTACAGTGTTTTGAATTTTGGTGCACGGCAAAGGTTAGACTCAGAAATTATGCATGTAGAACTTAATTTCACGCTCATGTTTCCAGTTTAATAAAATATTACAGAGCCACAAAAAGAGATGCACAGGAGACTAAAAACCTAAGACATTTGAGAGCGGCCATAAGGGAAATCAAATGCGATACTTTCCATAAAATAATATAATATCGCTGATGGGGAGAAACACATTAACCTTAATCAGCACTGCAATAATATTTCTTCATACAGTGCAATTCAGAAGAGCATAATAGTGAGCAATTTCCATTGTAAATTATATGGAGTTAAGAACCCATAACTCTTTGGATTTACTTTGGCTTAAAAAAATAAGTTTGATGCATGAACTGAAATTTTGCCATTTGTAATTTCAAAATAAAATAAAAGTCAGACTCTTTCAAACTGCCCTTTAAAAGACTTTTGAAAAGTAATTTTACAGTATTTCCTCAAATAAAATTGATTAACTATGATAAATTATTTGATTTAATAATTAATATTACATTGAATGTAATCTAACAGTAATTTCCTACAATAAAATACAGAAAATTTGTTTACTTATGATTAATTATTTGATTTAATTAACTGTACATTTGTATACCTAGTATAAATGATTATATAATTACTGAATGTAATCTAACAGCTAATTTTTTACAGATTAAAAGAGAGAGAGAGAGAGAGAGAGAGAGAGAGAGAGAGGAATTAGCTGTTAGATTACATTCAATAATTATAAAATCATTTATATACATTCAAATGTTTGGCAAGATTGAACAGCAATATTTTTAAATAGAAAAAAAAATGAATTGAATAAAATAAAAATAATAATTATTATAGATAGTAATACATTTATACACCTATAATTATATAAACGACTATATTTATCTAATGTTATCTAACAGCTAATTATTTTATTTTACACACACACACACACACACACACACACACACACACACACACTTATACCCTTTTGTATTTTAGATTTATACACATTATATATATATTATATATAATTCCCTGTACTTTTTTTTGTTTTTTCCTTCCCTATGTGACGTAGGGAAGGAAAACCTAAAGAATCTACAATATCCGACTTATCTGTACTACATTTATGAGAAAGTTTCAGAAGTTCAAGAACGCAAAGATGATTTGAAGCAATTGCAACACATGATTGCAGCATCAGCTACAACTGACGGCTGTGCAGATGGCAGGATCATTTTACTGTCTGCGTTTTTGCTTTTCCAGGCCTGCAATGAGTATGAGGGACATATCATACATTAATTCTGAGTGCTACTGTCATCTCCAGCCATCTCAAGCATCTTGTGTCTGAGAGATGTGGAATGAGCATGAAGAAACGGAAGAAAGTCTTTGGGATTTTCAAGATTTCTCAAGGGATGCAGCATGTGTTTTGAACTCCATATTAAAGTGCACTGCTGCTCCAATTGAATAGACTACATACAGACATTACTCTCAGTCTTAGAGATACCTGCAACAGGAAAAGTAACACTGAATCAAACTGAAGTTACTTCATTTTAGATTTCATTAATTAAAAAAAAAACAGTTTTGGAAACTTTACTTCCACAACTCAACTACTGCACTCCTCTTGAGATTCTTATTGTTTTTATACAATAGATAAAGTATTGATGATTGCAAATATAATCTATGTATCTAATATAGTGTTATTTTAGTATTATTTATATATTTATTCATATTATTTATATATTTTCAGATTTCACTCTAATTTTAGTTTTAGTAATTTCATTGTGTGCTTTTGTCATTTAGATTTCTTTCTTCTTCTTTTTTTAATTTTATTTAAATGATTTATTTCATACTATATTATAGTATGCCTGTTTATTAATATTTTGATTTAACCTTTAGTTTTTCATTTGAAGTTTTCAGTTTAATTTTAGTAATTGTTATTTTATTATTTTTTTTAATTCCATTTTTTTTTCCATTTCATTTTTTTTTTTAGTACTTTCAAACATTTTATTTCAGTTTATTGTTTTTTAGATGTAAGTTTTTCATCGAATACGTATAATTTATTATATTTTACTAACTCTAGCTTCACTATTACTAATTATTATGAGTTATGAGTAGCTTGCAGCGTGGGAAGCTACAAAAACACACCGATAAGTTCATGGCTCTTTGAATTATTTGCAATCTACAACCAACAAAATTGAATGATGTGCAATTTTTAAGCCACATACATGAAAATTAAAGCATTTTGTTTACCTGTCGTTATCTTTTTAATCTTTATGAAACAAAGCACACAGTCATCTTTGTTTGCTTCCATAATGGAGCTGTCAAATCGAGAAAAGCCCTCACTGCTGAT